ACTCCCCATCAATATGAGCTTATGGGAAATAGGTCATCTGACACGCTCTAATCCCTGTTTCCAAAGACAATGGGATGGCCACGTGCTGGCCAACATCCAAGGGTGACGCAAGCCATTTATGAATGCATATGCTGAGAACATGTAAAACATACATACAAATTTTGCACAGAACTACACAATGTAATATTCAAATACAACCTTTACAAAATAATATAATAGGGTAAATTACAAAAAACTACCTCAACTATTTATTTGACGACACTTTCATACTTCATCTTTTAAAAATGACAATGTCATACCTCATCTTACGAATTTGTGCCAATGTCAAACCTCCGTCAGTTTTTCTATTACTTTTTCTATTAAATGCTGATCTGGCCAAAGACAGGACCCATTCACTAATCCAACTGGATTAAAAAATAATAAATATCTTTTTAATAATTAAATATTAAAAAATTAAAAAACTAAAAAAAAAAAAAAATTGGCCTAAGGGATCCGGCTCTCCCTTCCACCCGTACCAACCTTTTTTCTTCTTCTCTTTGACAACCACCAAACCCTTCCCCGTCCCCCTAACCTTCCTCCACCACCCTTTCTCTATCTTCTCTCTCCCTCTTTCTGGGATGCAGTTTCCCTCCTCCGTTGATCTCCCAACTTGCACTTGTGCTTCCCACACCACCACCTCCTAACCCGACCCATCCCTCCCCTAGTCCTTCTATACCCAACCTTCCTTCACCACCCCATCACCGCCTCTCTTCCTCCAGCTTCACCACCCCATTGAAGAAACCAAAAAAAACCAAGCCCACACCCAAATCCTACACCAAAAAAAAAAAAAATAAAAAAAAAAACAAACCCACACCCAGATCCCCTTCCCCTCCTACACACCCATCACTCTCCACCCAGTCCCTCCTCCAACCTCTCTCCTCCGTCTGATTCGCCGTCGACCCAACACTTCCTTCGACCTCTATCTTCCTCTCGACCTCTCAATTTCCTCCTCATCTTGGCCGCAAAACCCTCATCTCCTTCCCACCTCCGATCTCTTCATCTTCAGACCCTTCTTCTCCTCCCTCTCTCCGCTGCTCTCCTCCTAGGCGCTGGTGGTTGCAGAGAGAACAGGGAGTTAGAGTGGGAGAGAGATGCAGGAGAAGATAAAGAGAAGAAAGAGAGAAGGGTTGGTGTAGGTGGAAGAAAGGAAGGCCCACATCCCTAGGCCTTTTTCATTTGTTTAGTTTTTTAATTTTTAATTTTTTTAATTTGTGAATATTTAATTATTTTTTAATCTAGTTGGATTAGTGAGTGGGTCCCGTCTCTGGCCACGTCAACATTTAACATAAAAAGTAACAGAAAAACTGACGGAGGTCTGACATTGGCACAAATTCGTAAGATGAGGTATGACATTGTCATTTTTAAAAGATGGGGTATGAAAGTGTCGTCAGACCAATAATTGAGATAGTTTTTTTTCATTTACCCAATATAATAATATTCAACTACCAACAAAATAATGGTGATGACGCATGACATGTTCAGAGCATACTACTAATTAAGATTACAAAGAAAAGGGTCCTACACCGAGAGGACTCAAAGATACCGATGCGGGTGTGCCTTGACACCGGGATAATATGTAATAGGTTTTTCGAAAACCCTAGGGTGCCATAAAACCTTTCATAAAACATATATATCATATCAAGTGTGCTTAGTAGTGGTATCAGAATCGCCTGAAGCCCTTCATTCGCCCGTAGGCCCCTACATCACTCGACTGAAGCCATATATATATCTTCATTCACCCATAGGCCCCTACATCACTCAACCGAAGCCATATATAGATATCATTCGCCCGTATGGGCCTACAACACCTGATCGAAGCCATATATAAGTATCATTCACCCGTAGGCACATAGTATGAGTAACCACTGAATAAGCACAATAAAAATATGAACATAATATTTCCAAAATATATGTATATATCTCAATGGAGCTCAATAGCTCAAACATCATATCTTAAATTATTTTGTGAATATCTCTATAAACGTAAATCCAGTGAAGCATGATATTTCATAAAGCGTAAATCTCATTTACTCATAAATGTTCATAAAACGTAGTCATAAAATTGATAGGAGCATATTTATGTGACTTTGTTATCTTATTTTTTTGCATTTACTTAGTTAAATTCCATTTAATATAGTAATTTAAGTTATTTTCGTATTATTGTAGGTTCAGTTGGTCAAGGTGACTATAAATAGTCAAATGGAGCAATTTGGAGCAGTTTTGGACTTGGATTGGATAGCATATGGGCTGAACGTTTTTGGTGTTTAAATGGTGCTAGACATGTGCTAAAATCTGGAGAAATTAAAGTTAAGGCTTGGAAAGTAAGGAATTACACAAGAAAGAGGAATCCTAATTGGAGAGGAACATTATCTTATCCTATCTTATCTTATCTTATCTTATCTCCAGCTGTAAGGAGGAATCCTAATCACATTCCAACACTCTGTCCCTGAGTTTTAGAGTCCTAAAATAATTCAAAATGCCAAAACCTTCTCCTCCTTAGATTCTGCCATTCCCCTTATATATATGAAATTCCTGCAATGATTTAGAATGTGCCGCACCTACCATTCATCCATTGAAGTTGCTGGAATTTTCAGAGTTCTTTCTATCTTTGTTTTAAGTTTCAATGTTTATTTTAGATTGCTTTTCAGTTATGATGAACATGCGTAACTAAATTTCTTTTTAGTTAGAGATGAATTTGAAGTCATGAACATATGTTTTATATAAGTTGATTACATCCAGTTATTGTTTCATAAAACATGAATGCAGTTTACTTATCTGCTTTATAGAGAACTTATTCTTGTATGTTTATTAAGGGTGCACACTTAGTTTGCATGCATGGATTTGATACTAGAATATAAGGGAATTTCTCCTAATCGTTATGAACTTACATTTGTAAGTAGTAAAAGTCACTAGTCATGATTGAGTTAAGTAAACTCTTGGCAGGAGTATCATGCTTTTCATAGTTACGAATGCTTCGTCAATGCTTATGATTTTCACATAACTTAATGATCTTTGAGATGTATCTCTATCATGTTTTTCATAGTTAGGGAACTTGAGGAGAATAATTTGATTGAGTCGCTAAGTCCAATTCAATGAATCTAGGAAAATCTGAGAGTTAATTTGAGCAGTTCACAGTTAATTTGGGACATTGTCATTCATGGTTTATAGAAATAATAACTAGAAATCGATTTGTATGCATATGTTTCATGTGTGAAGAATAATCCTCTAGCTAGCCTTTCACCTATATCTTGTACAAGACCTAATTCATTTGCTGCAATTTACTTTATTTTTGTTAAAATTTGTCCAAAAATTCCCCTGAGTTCTTATTTTGCGTTAGTCTAGCTTAGTTTTCAATTTTTAAGTTTAATTTGTGTTGATTAGCATCCCTCCTAATCTCCGGCCTAGAATGATCCCTACTTGCTCATACTACAATCGTCTAAATTATAGGGTTTAATTTGTGTGCTAGTTTTTAACACACCAAAAATCATGCTTTTCATGTATGCATTTCTAGTAATAAAATAATGCATTTTATAAGGGGTCCACTCACAGATACTCCGTAGTCGAAGAGCCGTGTGAATTGGGGAGGACGGAAACGCCACTAACAAATGCACCTAAGCACTTAAAGGAACCAATTAATAAAACTCTACTCAAACGATTGAATTTGAAAAAACGAACGTAGAAATTAGATTCAGGATGTCGAAATTAGTCTAGGAGGGGTCCTAGCTGAAACCCGAAAAAGTTAACCCAAAAGTCAATGTTGACCGATCAACGGTCAACGGTCAATGCTGACCAGAAGTCAACGCTCAGCTGAGCCGAGTCGAGCCAAGCCGCCGAAGCTCACCGGAAATTGGGTTTTTGGCTGGATGTTTGGCCAATTTTCATCATTTTTTAACCAAATTCAACCCATAATATATCAAAACGAAGCTAGGAAAGTAGCTCAATGGTTGCCAGAGAAGGCCGGAAAATGGCCTGAAAAGTGACTCGTCTACTAGAAAACTAGGGAACCCGATGGAAACAAGTAGGGACCGAGTGGTGGCTGGAGTTGGCCAAAAAATGGTGTGAAAGATGGCTAAACGACCACAGCCTTGAAATTTCCAGAATTGCACAGTGACTTTCCTTGAGTTTTTCGGAGTTCCTTTGTCGGAAATGGTGAGAAATCGCCAGAGAAGTTCCCTGAATAGTGGTCTCGGGGGTAAATTTTTGAATGGTTTTTCTTCTATTTTCTTGGTTCAAGAACACGTAGGGACTATTAGGGAAGGTTGTGGTGTGGTCTAGGTTATTGTTGTGTGTTGTTGTTTGAGTGAAAACCCTCTATGAGGGTTGGTTTTTTAAAGAGAAATTACAGGGCCGAGAGTGAGGGAGAGAGTTTTTGAGAGAGAGAGAGATGTTTTTAGAAAATAATAGAGGGAAGAGAGAAGAGGGGGTTAGGGGGGGGGGAGGGAAGGGAGAAAACATGTGGGCCCTAGTGGCTTACAAAACAAGGTCACTAAAGACGAAACACGAAAATATCTGAAAAGCGTTTGACGTTTCGAAACGTAAAATCTTCGTTAGAACTTCAAATTCGAATCCGTTCGTGCCTATGCGTTTGTGGCGATGAGTACAATAAAAATAAATCAAAAAGATTAGTCACAAGCGTTACGTCGAGACAATCAACGAAAGTCAACGTTCATGCTGCAAGGGCAATTTGGTAATCTCATACGCTTGATAATATAAGAATATGACAAATTTAGGATGGGGTATCACATCATCTGAGTGGTCATGGTAGCACTAACGAAAAAAAATGATAATGCATACTTCTTTTGGCTTCATAAGAACCCACTTGTTTAATCATGTTTGTTGTTTGTTGTTTGTTGTTTTAGTTATTCATTGGATGAACATAAAAAGAGGTGTTTGAGAAATCAAAAAGATTGTGTAAAAATCATCTCCTAATAAAAGCTTTCCTTTCCTCCTAACCAGCACCAACCCATTCAAATGGTGATGTAGAAATCGTGCATTTTCTCAATCTCAGTTTCTAGGCAAATTCATATTATCATAAAAATCACATTAGTTGTTAAAAGGTGGGAAAAAACCCCCAAGACCCAAAAAATGGAACCCGATAATCACATCAGTTTGCAACTTGTTTGGCCACACCTCACCACCTTGGACCCTCCTCTCTATATCCATTCGACTCTCTTTATTTATCATCTCCGGCGTAATTCCATACCACCGACTCCTCTATCATCTCGTCGTCGACCACACATATGTGTGCTCTTTCTCCTGTATTCAAGGTAAGATTAGGGATTTCTAGAGATATATTGTTAATTTTAGAGATTTGTAAAATCTAATTGGGGCTTTTGATTGAAGGGTTGGGGGACACCAGCATCCTTAAACAGGAATTGGGGCCGAATCTGGAGATATAGCTAGCATCTTTGGGCGGTGGATTGTGGCACTGGGCGAGGAAAATACTTACTCTCCATGTATGTAATCCCAAATCCAAACCAACAATCACTCGCTTCCACCTTATCGTAACTAAAACGCAGTGCGATGATACGTTAGTTTGTTTACATAGATGGTAGAACTGAAACAACATTACAATCTTGTCTTTCGTTCAATCATGATAATAGAATCACATGATTGTTCTTAATCTTATACTACAACATTAAACAAAACAGAATATTGACTTAAAGTGCATGACATTTACTCGTGAGGACAATGGCATTAAGCGATTTATTTATTGGAATTTCAACAAAAAATCAACTTCGCTCGTCTTCTTCTTCCACCTCTGCCACATCATCATCATGTTTAGCTTTCAAGTGTCAACGGAGAGAGCTTTGGGAGACTATCACCTCTAATCTTCCATTGGATAAGAGCTCCAGACTTTCCAAGTCTGCAAAATCGGTTTAGAGAAGAAGAGATGAAAAGGCCCAAAGGACGTATAAGCCCATAAGGCTGAGAAGCCTGGAAAAGGACACGACTGAGCACCCCGAACACTGACTTGGATACCGGCCGACCGAGATGGACCGCAAATGCTGACCGGGAGAAATGTCAACTCATATGTCATTCAAGCCACATGGCCACTCGGGGACAACAATGAAGACCCCGGATGGGATGCAAAGTGGTTTGGAGCGGCGCTCAGGCAGATTGTGTTAAAGTAACTGAGGCCGACCGGGAGAAATGGGCTACTTTATTCTGGGCCGACGTGCATTCAACTGGACACCAGTCACTTCACTGCCGAAGACATGGAAATTTTGAGCCTTAAAAGCGTGGGTGTTGAAGACATGGAAATGAACCACATGGCATCTTCTGGTTGGCTGTGCTGGTCATTTTACATATTGGATGGAAACCTTGATTAAGCATCCACTGACTCATTTTGATCTGTTTGATATGGTCTAGTTCCTACATGTCGAGCGGATCTGTTTTAATCATGTCGCATAACAAAACAACAATAGAAAATAATCTCTATGTTTTTTTGTTATAAAAGAATTATGTCGAACAAAGCCAATACCAACAAATGTTCTAAGTGAAGAAGTTTGATCGTTGTTTTACTTCTTTGGGTTAAATAGATATGGAATTATGGATTACAGACTTTATTGTGGACCACTAATAAAATGACAAGTGCTAAGACAACATTTGGACGATTCAAACCGAGTTACATGCACATGAAAAATATAGACTCAGTTTTGGACTTATTTTTACACAAGCAGGGTTCAACTCGAATCATTTTGAAAACTAAAAGTAAGAACCATATAGTTCTTCATTGAACCAGGTAATACGGTCCGGATCAAAGGGTCCAAAGTATGCCCATCCTTAACTTTGATAGAATGAAGAAAATTTAACCATAAGTTCTAAATTAGAATGTTTTAAAAGCCTTGTATCCTAATTCAAACAAAGAAAGAAAAATGTAGAATTGAAAATAACGCAATTACAGTTTTTTTTTTTTCATGGTCCTATGTGGCGGCTTGTTGGCCTTAGGCCTACTATAGTTGGCCAAAAAATTGAGTGTATGTGATACGAATAATATAAAAATCAAACTCTTTTGGTAGGTTAGAAAATTTGAACGATATAAGAGTGATTCGTATTTTTGAGTTTGGACTCATCATATACAATAAATAACAAGAGTGAGAAAAAAGGTAACAAACCGTAAAATAGAGGAAATAAAAAAGTAAGGCGTCTCACATTAAACATATAAAACTCACTCATATCAAATTCTTACTATTATAATAATAGTGTAATACGAATTAAATTCATAGTGCATTACACTCACCTAAGCCTAAGCCAATGTGGAAACAATAGAAAAAAGTATAACCAAAAGCTTATGAGTAACTCCTACGCTAATAGGCCTATCCACAGTACGACTCGAGCTCATTAATAACTAACCCGACTCATAATCAAAAGAGGTTTCTAACACTTTATACTCAAATATAAAAATATAGGTAAAAAAAACACTCCGTAAAGATTTTTTTTTTTTTGCAAAAATAAATAAATAAAATCAGTTAATCAATCAACTGTAGCAAATAAATAGATGATTTGTAATCTTTTTATCATATTTGACCATTTGTTTTTACACAATTGGATGACTAAACAATCTCATATTTAATTGATTTTTGGCATAGATTATATTTATAGAGGCCTTTATAATATGAGTTGTTTCAATCACAAGCACGAAACTTCATGAATTGGTAACAAAGTACCTTTGAATGTTAGGATGTCGAGTGACAACACTTAGTTAGACCATGTATCTCAATTGTTGAGCCGAAGATCTAAAGCTTGCCACCATCTACGCAAGCTGAGATATGTGCAGATGCAAAAGAGTGAATGAATATTCAATTGTATTAGTGTTCTTGTCAATATCTCTTACATACGAGTAAAGTTGAAGTGGCATTTTAACATTGAAGAGCAGCTCCATTCATTGATGAGCCAAGTTAATTCGCTAAAAATCACATGAGGAACTAAACTTCTTTATTTACATTATGGTTGTTCAAATTAAACACCAAGGAAAACCTTATAGTTAAGGTATCGTTTGGTATGCAGACGAGACGAGACGGAATGAAATGGGACAGGACGGAACGGAACGGAGCGGGAGCAAAGATGCCCTAGGATGGAAACAAGAAGGAAGAAGAAGGAGACGGAGAGGTTATAATTTTGTATTCCACGGATGTGGAACGAGTCGTTCCAGGAGGGTGAGATGGAACGAAAATTCACCCAAAACTCGTCCCGTGGAACAACTCGTTCCACCCGTTTTAGGCGCACCAAACGTGGGATGAAACGCCTTGTCCCACTCTGTTCCGTCCCGTCCCACGTACCAAACGGTACCTAAGAGCCTGCTAAACGGTTTCAGATGAAGACAGTCCCCGAGGGATTAGGTCATTTTCGTATAGGCTTCTACTACCTCGTATGCTAAAGAAGGCCATGGGCCACATTAGGCAACATGTCTGGTTCAGCTTCGCCTTCTCAGCTGGGCCGTGACAACATATTCATAATCTTCATTCAATTAGGTTTTAGTAAATTGTCAGGATTAATACTACGCCAAGTTTGATCACTTTAGTCACATAACAAATCAACAATAATAATTTAATATTAAACTCGTCGTTTACGAGATTTGAATGAAAAATCTACCACGTACAGGTGATGATGAATTTTTATTTTATGTTTAAAATTTCAATTCATTTTGTTCCATCTCCTTTGGAGATAGTCTAAGCCGTGTAAAAAGTTTGTAGCCAACAAGGATGGTCCCTGTCTAAGTTTATAGGTAGTGAGCCCTCATTCATGTATGAATGTATGAGTGCCACCTTTGCATTACAGTTATGTGTGAGAGTGATGGGACAAGATTCGAGGGAAGCAAGCGATGGAAACACACATCCCCCTCCCCCCTCTTCTTTTTCTCAACCAAGTATCTTAGAAATCTTACTTTTGTCAATGAGTATTAAAAAAAAAAAAATGGTAGAAAATGTAGGTACTTGCTAGATTGTTGGGCTTCTTTAGTTCCTAGGGATGTAATTAAACCTCAAAATTGCACACAGAGTCGATTGGCCCATTTAAAGAGTTCGTAGCTTGGGATTTATCCAAGGGTGTGCTATCCACACATCCTTTTTTACTTCATACACACCTTTTTAATTTGCAGCCGTCGCATCAACTGAATTAAAGAAAATCAAATGGTATAAATTAACAAATGATGTGTGAGATGTAAAAAGAAATGCTTGAATAGCACACCTCTCTATCCAATTGAGATGCTTGGTTGTTTTAAAGCTTGGAAGAAAGCCCAATGTGGGATGCTTGGTTGTTTGAAATCTTCGAAGAAAGCCCAAAGTCGGAATTGTAATTGAGTTTTTCTTCCTGAGGGAATTGTAATTGGAGAAAGCCCAATGTTGGCCAATACCACTTATTAGCACTTATATGGTTATATTATTCTTCGTTTGTAAGTGAGAAGTTTTAGGTGCAATTCTCGTCAAAGGTGAATTTGAAACAAATTAATATGGCTAGTCCATTGTGAAGTTTAGTTCACTACTCCACCCTTTAATGTAGATAATACTGGAACCAAAACTAGCTTAGACTAGTTTGGTCCAGTTTAGAGATTTTTCGGTTTTTATGCCCACCCTAATGTATTCATAGAATGAAAAATAGTGAATCCTATATAGTAAATTTTGACGGTCCAGTGATCCTCATAATGTGTGACCTTTGGATTTATGTTAGAAATTCTTTCGAAGGTCCTGCAGTTGCTATGCTTTTTAATTTTATAACTAACCATTTAATCTGCTAAGATTATCGCTCTACCTAAAGCCAAATGTACTCTGATAGGCTTTACATTGGGCGCTGACCCATGAGTTACTTTTGTTTGACAATCGAAGGAGATTCCAAAATTGCCGTACATGTCCTCTACTAACGTTAGGTTCTTTACCAGTTATATGTTTATTATTTAATTCTATATTATAGTCAAGAATAAAATATAGAGAAAACTAATAAAATGACCTTCAAATCTTTACATTTTAATAAAAAATTATCTACTAAAATTATTTAATGATAAAAATAAAAGAATAAAAATAAAAAATAAAAACATAAAAAACACCACATGCGCTGATCGCTCGTATCCCCCACCCAACCCCACTCCCTCCCCCTTTTACATTCTTTTTTCTCTCTGTTGTCAGCTATCATTGAGAGATTTTTAATTTTTTAATTTTGTCTTAGAATAAGAGAAAAACTTCAAATTGAATTACATTTTCCAATTTTATTTTGGTGGTGTTGTTTCCTAGTAGTAGTCAAGATGACAAGAGATTTTTTAATGTGTTCGGAACACGTAGTGGTACACCACATGTCTCTATACAAGTGGTAAGATTCTTGCGTTAAAAAATAAATAACATAAAAAATAAAATTTCCCACCACTTACATAATAACACGTGGTGTACCACTTGTGTTACGAGCATAAGGAAAAATTTCTCGAAGATGACACCTAAGCTAAAGAAATTGGATGGAGAGCTACATTTAATTATTGTAGGTATGTAAATAATGTGAGGGAATTTTAATTTGGTAATTGAAAACAAATTTTTAAATATAATTATTGAGGACATAATCTTCTCAAGGTTTTATAAACAGTGTAGTACGTTAAGTTTCATCAACAGTGTAGTGAGTTTCATAAATAGTGTAGAAAGTTTCACAAATAGTGTAGTAAGTTTCATGAACAGTTTAGTAAATTTCATAAACAGTTTAATAAGTTTCATAAATAGTTTAGTAAATTTCATTAACAGTGTAGTACGGTTAAGTTTCATAAACAGTATAGTAAGTTTCATAAACAAAATGTGTGAGGAGGCATAGGTCCAGCGCATTAGGTTTTTTTTTTTTTTTAATTTTTTTTAATATTAAAATTATGTCTTTTTCATTAAAATTTAAGTTCTTTTGTCATTTTTATTAAAATTTAAGAGTTTTTCATTAAAATTTAAGTCTTTTTCATTAAATAAAGTTATAACATAATTTTTTGTTAAAATAAACTTTGATCAAACCCTTTTCATGAAAGTTTCCTAAAATATATAGTTAGATAAGAGAATGCAATTGTGAATTGATCTATATCAACTAGTCAAATTTAGAAACTTTACATGTTGTGAATATTTTGTTCCTAAATTAATTTGGAATATATTTTTGGTAGCTACGCTTTCACAAATTAAAAGAATGCTAGCAATTTTTTTATTTAAACTTTTTCGTTTTATCATTTTAATTTCTTATTTTATGAGGAGTAAACGATTTCGATTATACATTTCTTATTTTATATTTCGATGATACATTGCATGACGAGCAGAATGATCGAAAACATGAACGATAAGGTTCAAAGAAAAAGTTGAAAAATATAAACGAAAGGCAAAACGTGTAAAAATAATACACTCCCACATTTGATCATAAGCCCATCAGTCAGCTAATGTCACATCCCGGCTCGAGAGGGACCACTTTCCGGGTCCGTTCCACTACCGTAGCACGATATTGTCCACTTTGAGCCCCAACCACGCCCTCACGGTTTTGTTTTTGGGAACTCACACGAGAACTTCCCGATGGGTCATCAATCCTGGGAATGCTCTGGCGCGCTACTCGCTTAACTTCGGAGTTCCAATGGAACCTGAAGCCAGTGAGCTCCCAAAAGGCCTCGTGCTAGGTAGGGATGAGAATATCCATATAAAGATCACTCCCCTGGATAATGTAGGATGTCACAGCTAAGGCCATCTCCAACCGAATAAGGGTCAAAGGGCCATGTTTAGCCCTATAACCCTACAAGAAATTATATTTTAATCAACAGTGCCAGACCATATTTTATACCATCTTCAACCGGGAATGTCAAAGGGTCATAGGTCAAACATAGTCCTTTGATAAAAAAATCCATTTCCAACCGAGAGGGCCAAATGGCCATAGGCCAAACATAATCCCCTCAATAATTTATGATTTTAATTGAATTAATATGGTTAATTAAATTAAACTTCCATATTAAAATAAGATTTTCAGATATATTTTGAGCGCCACTTGCCACAATAACGAAGAAAGCATGGTATTGTTGCACTTGCCACAAAGTCAAGCTTGACATTCTGAGGCTGGAAGGCTGGCTGGCTGGAAATGGCCAGCCCACTAGCTTGATTTAGGGTTTTGGCTAGGTGGGGTCCACAAACCCTTTGGCCTAGCACTCAATTGGAGACGATTTTTGTGTCATTCTGAGTTATTTTTAGCCATAGGGCCCTTTGACCAGGTCAATTGAAGATGGCCTAACTTTCACCAGATGTCCACACTCCCAAAACATCGGAACATTGATTTTTTATTTTTTGTGTTTTATTTTTATTGTTATTTATTTTGGATTATCCTTAATTTATTATTCTGAAATTTCTTTAATTTCAACATTTCATACAACAAATTATTTTCGTCCTAGTCTGGAACCTCAAGTCATAATTTAGGGACATCAATTAAGTTTTTTACTAGAACCTTAGTTAATTGATAATATGGCCCCCACATGGACAATGACTGGACATCACGTCTCAATCTAGAGCCACGTGGACATTAAAAAAATTAAAAATGTTAAAAAGTAAAATGTTAAATATTAAAAATAATTAAAAACTGGTAAATCTCAATTTACTATCTTGAAGTTTCGTGGTTTTCAACATTTGACACATCAATTTTTTTTTTTTTTTTTTTTATCCCAGTCTAATACCTAAATTGATAATTCTAAGATAGTTTATAACTATGTTAAGTTTTCTATTAAAACAATAATTAACCTGTAAAGTGACGCTTGCGTGAATAATGACTAGACGCCACGTGTCAATCTTAATCCGGCTCATTTTCTCTTTATGCCATCCACAACCTTCTCCCTCCCGTCTTGTTGTTCCTAGGGCTTTTCATCTCCAAAAGAGGGCATCTCTCTCTCTAACCTCTTCCCTGTAGTAGTATATACCATGTAGGATAGAAGAATCAGAATAATTCTCCAGCATCTACTTAATATCATTATACATCTGTATATATACAATTTCTTCATTTTTTTTCAGGCAGCATAGAAATTAAGCTAGATCACTAGAACAACTATTCATCAATTCTAATCACCATGACTTCGGTCATCAACATGGACGGTCATGATCAGCTACTCACCGATGATCTTACCGATTTATCCACCCTGCAACATCATCACGATCAGGTACTTCTTCCGGCCAGAACTAACTTCATTTTCCGATCGATTTGTTTTTATCGTAACCCTGATGCTGGTCACCTAGAATCTGAAACTGGTCAATGCAAATTTTGTTGGGGTCGAATTGGAATTTCTGTACTTTTATGTTTTCATGCATTTTCCAGGTTGCCAAATGTTAATATTTTTGAAACGGAATATCTGATTGGAAAGCTTAGGCAATGTTTCCAGTTTGTTTGGAATTTTGGGTTTTTTTTTTGTTTGTTAAATTTGTTAAATTTGGGGATTTCGAAATTTTCAGGGGGAAATGCAGAGCAAAGAGGAAAATGTTGAAAAGAAATGTGGGAATCATGATGGGGTTTGTGCAATATGCTTGGATGAGATTGTGCTTCAAGACACCGCTCTGATAAAAGGTTGCGAGCATGCCTACTGGTTTGTCTTATCAGTCTCTTTATCTTTCTATTTACGCTTCCGCTTTTCCGGAATTTTGAAGTATTGCTTTGCTATGTTGTTCTTTGTACTGTATTTGTAATGCTGCTTTAGTCGTTTAATCATTTGGTTTTGGCGTTGTACATCTTTGGTGATTATAACTCAATAGCCCAATCACGATATGTGTATCCCTTAATTCAGTTTTCTTAAAAGGGCTACTTGGGTTTGTTTTTGCATGGGTTAGGCTGGGCTCGCCAGGCTTCTGGCATTTCACAGTTCAGTGATTACCATAAACATTTCATACAATAATTTGTAGTCTCTAGTGGTATGATAGTTCATGGTCTTTAAGAGTTTTGTGAGTAATATCGGGAAAGGCGCTTTCCTGGAGCACTTGTGATCTGAGAAAACACAACGAAATCAATTAGCACCTGTTGTACCGTGAGGCAAGGCTAAAAGCAATGTGTTTAAGGTGCTCTCCAATACAAGTTTGTAGCTTAACATGTAAAAGGACGGAAGACTGTAACATAAAAGGTTTCCTTTAGTTAAAAAATAAAAACTGATTGTATATACATGTATAGCTCTTTTTTTTGTATAATTATTGAAATATTAGATCATAGTGATGTATTGATAAGAGGTGGGTAAGCATGAGATTTATGAAGTGATGAAATAAGTTTTTTAGATGTTTTGTAGACATTTAGACCAGAAATGGAAGGACGTTGAAATTAGTGGATGTATATTTACTTCTACCATTGACAGTATGCATGACTTAGTTTTAAATGCTCTAAAGACATTCAAGATAAAAATTTATGTTTGAAATTTTCACATCTGTTAATGATTTATTGATTTTATCAATGAAGATGAATTTCCCATAGAATATTAGTGGCTCGTTCTCATGTTTTGAATGGATTTTATTGTTGCCTTGACACATTTGGTCATTTTCTTTATGTTTAACTAGATAAATTCCATAGATTCTGTATCGCATTTTGAGACCATGCTCTAACTTTTACTTATCAGGTTGCTTGTGTCTACTAAATTTGTCCCAAGCTACTTCTTAATGCAAAGCAAGTTGTTTGCTTCATATCATATTCTCTACATTTACCACACTTTTAACACTTGGACTTTGTTTCTATGTGCGCTTAAGTAGCATAAAGCTATGCATTATCCTTTTATTGCAGAATTTTTTGTGAAAGTTTTTTCGTTGAATGGTAATTATGAACTTTTTTATATTTGTTTGTCCAAGATAAACCTTATTTACTTTGGCATTGCACTTTGAGATGAGTCTTTTCCATGCCAGTTTATGCTTGAGTTAATTTGATTTCTTCATATCATTCTCTTGTGTTAACGACCCTTTGAACACTGGAACTCTGATTTTATCTGCACTTCAGAACCATAAAGTTTGCATTTTTCTTTGACTGCAAGAATTTTAATCAAACGGGTGCTTAGTTTTCTGTTTTTGCATGTTTGTATGTTAGTGAGATATGCTCTTGTGGTTTCCAGTCTTGATGTTGTTTATGAGCTATGGTGGAGGTGCGTTTTAGGTTGTAGTCGTGAATGATATTGAGAATGAGTGCTCGTATGAAAGCTTCACAGACTCTATTTATGTTTTATCAAGTCTTTGGGCTGTTGGATTCATAATTTTTCATTTTCCTATTGTGCAGCGCAACCTGTATTCTTCGTTGGGTGACATACAGCCAAAAGCCCACCTGCCCTCAGTGTAAACATCCATTTGAATTCCTGAACGTCCATCGTTCCCTTGATGGCAGGTATCTAAAGTCCTCTTGTTTCCCTTTATGTGCATATTTAGATAGGGAGAAACTTGGTTATGACTTACGAGAGAACCTCCCAGTAGAAGCTGTTTTTGACTTGCCTAAGAAAAGAAAGCATATCTTGTCTTAGTTACACTACCTTCACATTTTCATGCTCTGACAGCATACAAGATTACATGTTCGAGGAGAGTGTGTGCCTACTCCTTAGAGCCAAATGGTTTGAGCCGTTAGTTGTGGAGGAGCGTGAAGATGTGTATGATGGCCATGAGGATTATTATTACTATCCCTATGATGATGAAGAGGATGATGATCTAGATGACGCTTACTTCAGCAGTTCATCGGTTATCCGGATTGGTAATCGAAGATGGGGAGATAATGGATACGTGAGGGGTGGGCGTCAAGAAGCAAGGCCTGTACGTAGATCAAACATACAGGACCCGGGTGCTAGTTCGTCTTGTGAGCCTAGGAAGAAAGAGGCTGCAGTGGATAAAACCGGGAGACGGGCAAAGCGGGCGCTCAAACGGGAAGCGGCTGACAAGGCAGCCGCAGAGAAACATCAGCAGCATTTGGCGAGGTTGGGTCGGAAGTAATTCAGTCTAATGCAATTGCACTATATGGCAGATTATTAACTACCCCTTCGCCATCTCAATGTACAGTATTCCCCTGACCTTTTTCTTTTGGGTTAAGACTGTATTTTCGGTCTACCATGTTAAATAATGTACCATCAAAGGTAATAAAATAGGGAAGAATAAAAAAGAAAAAAGAAAAAGAAAAAATGAAAAAAAATTAACGAAAACAAGAATTCAGATATGTACATTCTCATTCTGCATGTTTGCATTCCTGTTATTTATTTATTTATTTATTTTTTTGAAAAATTAATGAAAAAAAACTTCAAAAGTTTACATTTTAATAAAAATCATTTAATAATTTTATTAAATGACAAGGACATGAGAAAGAAGAAAAAAAAATCAAAGAAAGCGCGTGTCCAATGCGCCCACAATTGTATATAATATATGAATGCATGTGCAGACTGGGTCTGCATTCTTCTCTTTACCCTAAACCCTAGAAACCTGAACAACGGTGTGGTATATTTATTTGTTAAAATATGAGTTTATGTAGGCTCTACACAGAAAAGAATTCTATCAAAGGCTTTTAGTCAGCTCCAGATGGGAAATTAAAAAAGTGGCCGCCATTTGATCTTGCAACTTCGGCAAAATATAATTATATATGCATGTGACATCAATATATGACTAAAAATTTAAAAGAAAATTAATGAAAAGAGTTCGAAAAGTTTTAGTTTTAATAAAAAAATCAGGTTATAAGTTTTGTTTAATGATTAGTACAAGGCTCATATTAAGGTAGTCTAATTAAAAATGACCCAAATATAATAAATTATGATTTGTCGATTTTACCCTTAACTTTTTTAGGTTGAGTTCTAGATTTTCGTCATTAATGGAGTTCATTGTTGTTTTGCAGACCTTCTTTTTCTTTGAAACAAAAATATAGATCCTCATGCTATGTAATTTATATTTTGTATTATTTCGTTGAAATGTGATCATCGTTATTATTCATAGTGTATTCGAGGTACTGTTTTTCAATTTTTCATCGTCAGTGGAGTTCATCGTTTGTTTCTCTAGAAAATAAATTTGAGATATGCATGCTATTCAATAATAACGACGGGTCACTATTTCTGGATTGTAAAAATAAACAGTTTCTGGATTTTAAGTAACACTGTTTCTAGAATCTAAGTTACTGTTTCTGGAATCTAAGTCACTTTTTCTGGATGCAAATGAAATAAACACACTGTTTCTTAAGTGTAAGCTAGAAAAGAAATAGTGAAATTCACTGTATTTGGATTCAAAGCAAAATAAGCATCATGTTTCTTAAATATAATCAACTGATACATGAAAGAAAAGAAACAGTCAAAGGTTAAAATATAGACTGTTTCTAGAATTTAAGTCATTGTTTTTGGATTTTGGTTTTTTTTCTTTCCAGATAATTGTTTGTTTGTGCACAGACAAAACAAACATTGTATTTGATATTTTTTTTTTCAGAAACAGTTCTATGTTTTGGGTTATCCAGAAATAGTTTTACGTTTTGGTTCTATTTTTTTTTCTAGACACTTTTTTGCTGGTTTTTGCCATTAAACTTCTTTGAACTTGTTTCAACGGCTTTGTTTCGATGAATGCTTCCTTTTTCAACTTTGATTTGAATTTTGATTTGGTTATTTTTGAAATGGGGGAATTCGATTTTATCGGAAGACATGGAGTTATTATGGGGGTTTCATGCTGGGTTGAAGTTGGTGAAGAGTCAAGACAATATCAAATTGTTTAGGGGTATTTATAGAAGTGTAGATTTGTAGTGGGTTAGGCTTGTAAGTTTGACTTGTGGACAATAGTTTTGGATGGTTTTTTTTTATTAAACTTTGAACCCTTTTGGTTAAATAACATTTTGGGATGGTTTTTGGTTAAATATTTGTTGGCCAAAACCCTCTTCATTAAAGCTCCCAAAATTTAATGGTCTTCTTCTTCTTACATGAATGATTCAGTTAGTCGGAATATAAGTGTTGGCTGTTTGAGTTTACGCAATCGTGGAGAGCAAGTTCTGTACATGTACAATATACAAATGAAGTTGATAATGAGGACTTTTATTGTCTTTCATGGACAATCGAACCTGCATATTGACGTTTGTTTCTCTTGAAATTCTTTTATTCAAACAGAGGAAGTGTCAGTGCTAAGAACATATGAGATTAGAATCATCTGTGTTTAGTTTCATAAATAGTGTATTACCTATGTTCAATTTCAGAAATAGTCAATGTTCCGTTTAAAAAATAGTGATAGTATCAATGCTCAGTTTAAGAAATAGGTGATAGTACTCATGTTCAGTTTTCAGAAATATGCAGTATTTAGTTTAAGAAATAGTGGAATACCGATGTTCAGTTTAAAAAATAATCGGTTTTAAAAATAGTCAGTTTCAGAAATAGTGTGGGAGGGAAGAGTGTGTGTGTGTGTGTGTGTAATGGACGCGTGGGATCTTGCACGTTAGTTTTCTATTACTTATTTTATTTTATTTTTTTATTATAGGGTTTTTATCACAAATGATATCTGAAATTGATCCTCACTATCAAGATAGTCCTTGAAATTGAAAATCAATCAATGTAGCCCATGAAAATACGTGTCGCAAATCAATGTAGTCTTTCTGTCACAATTTTGTAAAAAATTGCATTAAGTATTGATGTGACACATAAATGGGTCCCATAATTTTTTTTTTCTTCTCACAAATGGTCATTGAAATTCACCTGTGTCACATCCCGGCCCGGGGCGGATCACTTCCCAGGCCCGACTCCACTACCGTAGCACAATATTGTCCGCTTTGGGCTTACTATTCGCTCACAGTTTTGTTTTTGGGAACTCACGAGCAACTTCCCAGTGGGTCACCCATCATGGGATTGCTCTAGCCTCCTTCTCGCTTAACTTCGGAGTTCCTACGGAACCCGAAGCCAGTGAGCTCCCAAAAGGCCTCGTACTAGGTAAGGATGAGAATATACATATAAGGATCACTCCCCTGGGCGATGTGGGATGTTACAATCCACCCCCTCTTAGGGGCCCGACGTCCTCGTCGGCACACACACGGCTAGGGTTAGGCTCTGATATCAAATGTCACATCCTGGCCCGGGGCGGATCACTTCCCAGGCCCGACTCCACTACCGTAGCACAATATTGTCCGCTTTGGGCTTACTATTCCCTCACGGTTTTGTTTTTGGGAACTCACGAGCAACTTCCCAGTGGGTCACCCATCATGGGATTGCTCTAGCCTCCTTCTCGCTTAACTTCGGAGTTCCTATGGAACCCGAAGCCAGTGAGCTCCCAAAAGGCCTCGTACTAGGTAAGGATGGGAATATACATATAAGGATCACTCCCCTGGGCGATATGGGATGTTACAACCCGCGACATCAAAATGGTTCCTGAAATTGACCTGTGACATCAAAATGATTCTTGAAATTGAAAATTGATCAATGTAGTCCCGCAAGTGTCTCAAATCAATGTAGTCATTCCATCACAATTCTGTCAAAAATTCTGTTACATGTTAATGTGACACATAAATGGATCACACAAGTCTAATTAAATTAAAAAAAATTACAAATAGGTTTAATAATTTAAGGGTGCGTTTGTTGCACCGGACTATTTCGGACTGGACTAGCTTCAGGGACTAAGTTGGACTGGCTTAGAATAGACTAAGCTGGACTGATTTAGTGAAGCGTTTGGTAAAGTGTTAGACTAAAAAAATATGACTCTAATATTATATTATTTAATCTATATCTATAATATTTTATTATTAATTTAATCTATACTACTAATATTTATTATTAGTTTATCATTTTTCGTTTTCTAGAATCATCTTCTAGACTTCCTCTATCCAAACCTATCATCTTTTAATCCGCCCACTTCCTTTATCTAAACCTCCCAAATACCCCACAGAACTATATTCGAAATTTCTAATAAATCAGACCCTTGAATCAAAACCCAAAATCCCAAAAACCTTAAATCATAACCCAAAATCCCGCAAAAAAAAATCAAATCCTTCACTCTCAGAAAACTCTATTCGCCATGGCCGTTGCCTGTCAAGCTCTCCACCTTTGTCTTCCGGTGAGGACCCAGGCGGATCAAAGGTGAATCAGACGACGATGAGACAGTGGTGGTGATTCTGGGGTCTTGTTCGAATGAGATGACGACGAGAGATTGGGTTTTCCGGTTGTGGTTCCGAGCGATGAGAGTGTGGTGGTGGTCTGGTGGCGATCTCGCCAAAGTTGGTGAGTATAACCAGTGGTAACTCTCGGTGTTCGTCAGAACAAAGTGCAGATAAAGGATATGATGCGAATGAGAGGAAGGGAAGGTCTTAGCAATCGCATGGGTATTGGGGGGTCTTGCTAAGAACTCCTAGCGAAGAAGTTTGTCCGTGCGAGTCCCCTTTAGTCCCATTAAAAATAATCCCAGTACTGAACAAACAGAAGATTGGACTAATAGTTAGTCCAATCTAGTCCTGTGATGCTTAGTGAGGGCAAACAAACACCCCTTAATAGTTAATAAAAAGTTGTGAACCCAAAACCCAGTCCTGCAATTACCTTTGATCCCAATCCACATTCCTCTACCTCCTTCGCTGTCTATCCTTTAAAAAAATTCTCAATACACCCATCTTTATACACTTCGACACCCTTTACCGAATTGAACCTGGATTGAGATCACCTTTGGTGACGGTTTGGCTGATTGGCAACGACTTCTGGGACATCACTGTTAACATTTAGGGGATCAACATCCTCACAACCTTAATCTTGGAGAGGTTGTTCGAGACTTCCCTGGTGGTCTGGTGACTTAAAGAAAGACGAGGTCTGCCTTGAGATAATGAGGTTATAACCGAGGTGCGTCTATTGTTGGTTGAAAACTATTTCCAAACCCTCTCTTAGGCCTTGGTTAAGCCTTGTGCCTTTGAAAATTTATGAAGGGGATCCCTCTTTGGAGTAGGTCCTACTATAAGAAAAGAAATTCTATTGTGCAAAAAGGTATTTAGACAACTTTTTTAATTAATTATTAAACCCACATCAGCACATAACAATTTTTTTTACAGAATTATAGCGGAATGATCATATTGATTTGCGACACCTATTTTCAAGGACTACATTCATCGATTTTCAATTTTAGGAATCATCTTGATGGTTTGAGTCAATTTTAGGGATCACCTTGATGGTGTGAGTCAATTTT